GCTATTCAATGGAGTGGTCTGGAGTCCTTCCTTATTTATAATTTGGACTCTATAAATAGAGCTCTAGGCCTCTACCTTGAGCCAAAATAAAACGAAAGCTTGGAGGAGGGGTTGAGATCCAACATCGCAAATTTGTTGAATAACTCTCACTCCAGTAGCCACTGCCACCAATTTCAATCAATACCGCCGACCAACTATGGCTGGCGCTGCCTCCCATGCCACTCCTCTGGCTACCTCTGGCTGCTTCCTCTGGACAGTTCCAGCTACCGCCTTCAACCAACGTCGACCACCTCTTACTCCTTGTAACGAAGTCCTTTGTTTAGTCATAACGCGTATTGTAAAATCCCAACATATATTGTGAAACAGTGAATCGTTCGACAAAGCAATGCACCATCCAATACACCGTGTATCAAAGCTCCCCGGATACGGTGTAATGACACATTTCGATGACTGTGTAATAATGCACTCTACATATGGAGCGATGGTGCTACACCTCCTGAATGTGTCACAGTGCACCCCAAATAGGGTGCTAAGTTGTCCCCCGAAGACGGTGTAACAATGCACACCAGATACGGTGTAATGATGCCTATTGAAAATGGTGTAGCTATGCATCTTGAATACAGTGCGACAATGTCTCCCGAAAATGATATAATAACACACCCCATCTATAGTGCAATGATGCCTCCTGAAAATGGTGTATCAACACACCCCATGAACGGTGTAATAACACCTCCTGAAGACGGTGCAACGATGCACCGCTAGGATAGTGATTTTCTCTAGACTTCTAATGTTTTCTCCTTTCAGCTCCCCGCTATGGCCTAAGTGATTTGCAGCTCGTTCAATTCCCAACCTTGGCCCCTTTGGCTTTTATGACTTACACAATCAATTACGAAATACGTGGCCTACAACTAGTGTAGCTTCCAACTCTAGCTCTTGTGGTCTACGGACATCTTTGCAGCTCACTAATACAGCCTATGTTACCAACTACACCCTACGTGGACTACAACTTGTACAACTCCCGACCCTAGCCTGGTGCAGCTTGCAGATGTCATCACAAGTCACCCTAGGACCTACATGACCATCTACAACCTACATGGTTTATAGCTTGTGCAAATCTCGACTCCTTGCTCTGCGGCCTACGAACGTCATCACAACTTCTCACTATGACTTATGTGACTAATTACGACCTACGTGGCTCATAACACGTGCAACTTCTAATTATTGCCCCTTTTGTCTGCATATGTGATCATGAATTACCACTATGACTTACGTGACTAAATATGACCTACATGTTCCGCAACTTGTGAAGCTCTCAACTTTGGCATCCGTGTCATAACTCATCTTTACGACCTATGCACAACTATGGCCTATGTGGCGTACAACTCCTACAACTTTCTACTACGACCTCTGCGGCCAACCAATGTTTTTGAAGTAGGTATATGTGATCCACATGTCCAACTACTACAATGGCTTCCGCTACTGTCTATACAAGAAGCTGACACAATAGCTATCTACAACATTCCCGACAGATTGCTTTCTTCATAGCAATTGACTTCGACCCCAGCAGCTTGCTATCACCGGAACTAAATTCATTACAACCAACTTATGACTATTATCCATGAATTATTGTTATACATCTACAATAACCAATTTTTTTACTCTATCTTCCCTAATTCAAGAGAAGAGTAGACACATGTAATCACCATTCATGGTAGATTGCTTCAACTGGGTTACACCACGTGGTTTTTTTACTTTTCAGGGTTTTTCTCCTCTAGCTTAATTCTCTTTAATTATCTGAGAATGTGTTTGGTTTTCATGCAACACTAAGATGATAATTCATTAGTCTACCACTGTGAATCTTTCGATACACATGAATTACTATTATTATTATTATTATTATTATTATTATTACTAGTATTATGATTATTATTGCTATTTTTATTGTTACTAAAATTATTATTATTATATTTATTATTATTACTAATATTATTACTATGATTATTATGATGTAGATCGTTATTTATTTATTAATGAATAATAAAATTATTTATATTATTATTATTATTATTATTATTATTATTATTAAAATTTATTAATTTATTTATTCAAAATATTAAAGCTATTATTTATTATTATTATTATTATTACCTACTATAACAACAACAATAAAGCCTTAATCCCACTACGTGGGGTCGGCTACATGAATCTTTTTTCTTCATTGTGTTCTATTTAGTGTCATATTTTCATTTATTATAGTGTCATATTTTCATTTATTTTCATTTATTATTACCTACTATAATAAATAATATTGATATTAAAACTAATATCAAATTTCTTGTCATTAAAAATTTTATTTTTTTTTCAATTTTTTTTTTCTTTTTTATCTAAAATTTATTTTAATATAAATATAATATTAATAATAATTATTATCATTCCTTTTTTTTTTTCAATTTGACACTGCAATTTCATCTTCAATCTTTTTTCTCATAGGCTTATGTTTCAACTGAGGCGAATTATCACGCAATATTGAGTCAACATTGTTGAACATGCTTTTCAATGTTTCGAACATATATTATTAGGCTACTTCATTGCCTTGAGCCCTCAACCATATTTGGAATGAAAATTTATTAATGTGGTTTTAAAATATGAAACAACTTGAAGAATCATTCTCAGATTGTAACTCTTTCAAATCACCAAAGCCATCCTAATATAGTTACAAACTGTTTTTCCAACATTTCAGTATATTTTTATTCAAACTCCTCTTTTGAACTGCATGTACTTCAACATTTTTAGAATAGATTTTGAATTGTCTTATTTACTTTTGAAACAATATACCTTTGAAAAAATTTTCTTAGATATATGCCCCTGACATAATTTATGATGAGTTGGGGGTAATACATCTACTATAACTCTTGTCATTGCTTGATCATGATTAGTAAATATTATTTAATGATGTTTCTTATCCATTATAGGGAGGAATGTTTTGAATAATCATTTGAATGAATCATTTGTCTCATATGATAAGAAAGCTACTTCAAATAGAAAAGTTTCGTTAACTCTAACAAGAGGTGCACTTTCTATAAATTTTTTAATTTTTCAATTCCCATCAATGTCAACTTCATATCTAATCATGTTGAACAACCACACCTTGTGCCCGATTTATGAAATTTTTTTAAGCTATTATGTTTATTTCCTTTTTTGAAACCAAATTCAGCGCACAATTTTTTTTTATTTTATATTTTTTGAATTTGAGAAATAACTCAAATGGTCTTTCCCCACTTTAAATCTAGTGTGGTGTGCATAACTACAATACAAATCATATCTCATTTTCATTGTGAACAATGGTAACGAACAATTTGTCTGCAGTTTGTTCATAATGCTTTAGGATTTCATCGTTCACATATTTGCACATTATACACATATAATATTCAAATACTAGAAACAAAATAAAGTCAATTTTTTTTCTAAACAGTTCTAAACATAATAAAAAATTTATTTCAGCTCTCGGTTTAAGTAAAGGCAGGTTTTTTCTTTAAAGGATATGAATTACACATCTATTTCTATAAAAACTAATTTAATAAAGTGAAAATAATTTCAAAGAAAAGAATCTAAAACAACATAAAACAATGATTTTAACTTTAAAGATATTTCATTATTACTTTCTCTTCATAACCGAGACAATATACAAGTGCTCTGTTGAACAAGAGTTGCCTAAAATCAAAATTTCTCTTAACAAAGCTAACCTTGAATAAAATAAAATAATGATTTGAAATTTCAGTTTATGTGATATAAGATTTTCCTTTCGAGTTTGGGCCATACACATCTATAATTAAGTGCAAAAAATGTAAAAAAGTCAGAACAGTTCTAATGAATGTAACCTAGAACAACATATAACACTGATATAAGCTTTTTAAATTTGTTAATTCCGGGTTTTTTTTTTCAAGAAATGAGACAATACACACATGCTTTATTGAACAAGAATTGCCTAAAATAAAAATTTTTCTGTCAAAAACTTACCTAAAATATAATAATATAATGATTTGTGCTTTTGGTTCAAGTTAAAATAGGATTTTCTTCAAACTTTCGGTCATACACATCTATGTAAGTGCAAAAAATGGTAAAAAGTTCTAAATTCTTCCAACTAAAGGTATTTTAGCTCAGTATAAAAATGTCTTCATCTTATATAATAGATAAATACCGATTTTTTTTTCAGGACCAAGTTTGACGCATCATATTGCCTTAAATCACCATAAAAAAAATATTTATTCGTAGAAACATACCTAACTTATTACGCCATAAAATAATACTCAGCTTTATATTGGAAAACAGAAAAATTTGGTTTTTTCCAATAATACTTTGCATTACGTTACAAAATTACTGAAGGGTTGAAATTTGAGATATTGTCGGCATTCTGTTCATTATCTATCGTCGCAGGTTTTCTTTCTTTACAGAATTTAACTGCAATTTTTTTATCCAACTACTGTATCTGTAATTCCAAATTCATTTAAATTTCCAATTTTTCCCACCTACACACGCGCCGTAAATACTTGAGCCAGGTCGTTGGTTCAGTTCTTAATTCTACATTTTCTCAGCTTTTTCTTTTGGGGGGTAAGCGGGTCCGACCACGTGGCGAAATGCTATTGACGTCTGATGCTGGATGTAAATTTTTTTGCAGGAAGGGAGCCAAAATATTTTCCCACTGGAAGGTAGCCATAATTGAAGATTTTATCTTTTTAGAACCTGTTTTGATATCAGTGCCTCCACCATAGGAAGAACTGATAGTCGAGTTTTTTTTTTCCTGCTCGAAGCCAAGATGTGAATTTTTAGGTGCAGTCATCAAAATAGGTTTTGTAATTTTTTAATGCTAATTAAAGTCTACGTGCATGTTTCCAAACTAACCCAGTTAAAATTAACTGTAAATTTCTTTATTCAATGTTTCATGCCGTTGATGTATATTGATTAACTGGTAATATGAGATTTTTTTGACTGTACTTTTGCAGGTTCATACATCTAGTAAAGCTTGTGCAACTAGTTACCCTTGCTGCGTACAGAATAAAATATTGTGGTTTTGGCCAAGGTCTGAGCCTCAGCACAAAGATATTTTGAGCAAGAGTAAGCCTCCTAGTGTCTCAGAGCTTGACGACTTATCATACACTTGCAATATGGGGATGCGTGATATGCCCTACGGGTAATATGCTTCTAAAATTTTCAATCATGTTTTAGCACTTTTGGCACTTGCAGATCCTACAAATCAGAATTATTTATGAGCTTTGAGACTAGTTGAAAGCCTAGAAGATTTTCATCTTGGTTAGCAGAGTACCGTTACTAATATCCTAAATTATGTTAGAAATATCAAAATAGTGTCAACCATGCTTATGGCAGTATGAATGAAAAATAAATTCGTTTATTAATTTATAGTATTTGTAAATGAGTTTAAGCTTTTAGTGGCTAATGATTTCAATTAGTGGTACTGGCTTCAACAGATTGCAATTATTTATTTCCTCAACATTCTCATTCAAGAGGAATAATTCCATCTCAAGATAGATAATCCATCTATTTTGATTTTTGGGTTGATCAGCCATATTTAGAATAGAGGTGATGATGTACAAATGACCATGTTATCACGCATGAGGATTTGGGGACTTTTTTTACTGTTGAATGCTTGTTTGTTGTTTATTAGTAAGGAATGCTAGCAATCTATATAAGATGAATTATACAACACTGTTTTATTGGAAGGCACCAACCCACAAATTGCTGAGGTGGATACTGTGGTTTTATTTAGTAGGTATTAAATTTAAAAAGCTGTTACAATATATAATTCTTCTTTCTTATTAGGATAATGTTCATTTCTTCCTTATTTTTCCTCATTGTAAACCTCTATATAAGATTACAAATTTTAGCCAATATGGGAGACTGCACAAGTAATGTGGGTGATTTTAAAATGGTATATTCATATTTTGGAAATTTTTTGTAGCTGTGTGATTTTTGTGATCAACCTCATGGCCTCAAGCAAGGATTTATGATTGTCTCAGCTTACTTCTCAACTCCTATAAAAAATTTGCCAAGCGCTAGATGTAATATTTTTCCTGCTAAAAAGTTGTGCTTATATAAATATATCAAACTAATGGATAAATTGAGCATCTAAAATTTTCTCGCGTGTCTATATAAAAATCTAAATAAGTGCATGGAAGAGTTTTAGAGTTTCGTCCACTTGCCAAAATTTTGGAAGCATTTGTTGAAATTCGAAAAGAAGAAAGCAACAGAAAATAATGTAGGAAGTACCAAAATTACTGTTATATCTGATGAATCTGCATATGCAATTAGAAACCTGGAATAAACTCTATGATATGCGTGGAAAGTGGTAATTTTTAATGTGATGTCTGTTCAAAAAATTAGCACAAGAAAAAAATTTCTGAAATTCACATCAAACCATCGAACTAGAATAGTTTTGAAAACTTATCACGAAGGCACTCACGCTTATCAAACTAATAGCAAGGGACTAAAGATGAAAAACAATAAAAATATTGACAATAAAACTAACAATTGAATGTTCTGTACAAGCCACTCGCTTCTAAATAGCTGCATGTTTCTCCCTTTTAGCCTGTAATTGCACTTTTTCCCTCTGCTCTTAGTTGTACTAGGGAGGTGACGTTGGTGCAGGCGTTTCCCACATAGAGGCGGAAAACAAGCCAGCCAGCTGAACCGGCTGGCATAGGGGAACCAGTCCAAGTACCACTGAGGCGACCGGTTCGGGATGCAACAAGAGTCTAATGGGATTTCCTTCTTTCCCTGCTTGCCGCTCGATTGAACGGCATTTTAGGAAGCACGACAATGCCGCCAAACCTGCCACTCCTTCCTTTTTCTGTTCTTTCTTGTTTGGAGTCTATTTATATACTTGTTTGTGAGAGTTAGGGTTAGTCTTGACTGTGTGTTGATTTCAGATTTCCTGTGTGAAGTCCTTTTCTCTTTTTTAGGGTTGTATTTGAGGAGGTGGTAGTGCTCCGGTTGTATCCTACTCCCAGGTGGTGTTGTATCATTTTCTTTCACCTTCCCCATTCTCCTCCCCTCTCCTCACTTGACAGCTTCCCCTTCATTCATGCACCCAGTCGCCCCATACCTGTAGCCTTATCTTGTTGTCCCGCCATTCTCTCCTTCTCAAGACTCCTAACCGATTGTTCCTCACCTCACTACCGACGCCCATGCTGTCCAGCACCTTCCAACCACCCCTCCGTCTGCCGCCGGTCTCCTACGACACCCTCCATACTTGCCATCCCTACAATTTGGCACCTTCCTCTCACTGCCATCAGCATTCCTTTGCTGCCACCATTCTTGCCAACTATCCCGATCCACCTAGCTAACTTCCATCACCCTTTGAATACACCTTAGAGGCGTTTGCTTGTGTCATTGTTTTTCTCGGTTCTTTTTAGATCTCGGAGTCGCCAGTTTGTCTATTTATGTGTCATCATATAATTTTTTTATTCGAATAAGTCTCCCTCCTGAATCAAATGAATGACTCGAAGAGGAGAGGAATCGAATAACAAAATAACGTACGACAACAAATAGACAAACAAATCAAAAAGAATAGAGACGAAAGGCTTATATAGGGGTAATCCTCGTGTGATGGGTCGAGAGTACACATCCAAAGAAAATCGGATCAAAGTACCACAAAAACAACATCGAAGAGCAGAATCTATATATAAGCCACCCGTAACCAGAGAACCAAAAAGAATATTTTTTGTTCTGGGGTCAAAAGTCTCCCAGAGGAACGTATTCCTACTGGTTAATTACATCTTGGGGAATACCCAAGAAGACTCTCGATGAAAGGAGTTTCGCTTTATTATCATGATTCTGGGGCTTATGGGGCATAGCTTATCAAAAGGTGATTATTTCGTATGGAATGATCCTAATGCTTTGAAGCTCATGCAAAGCCATCAGATAGAGAGGAAATCTCCCACATCCAAATGGATAGCGGCTCCTCAGCACACAGTACCTACAAAATAATCATAAATCACTTGACGGGGGTATCCCGATACGTCACAGCACATCCGGGTCGCCGGGTCGTAAGGGCAGAGGGTCGTAAGGGCAGAGGACAAATCGTCGTATCCCAAAAGGGCGGCAGCTTATCAGCATTGGGTCGTCAAAGTGATTTTAACGAAGTCAAAAGAGCAGAGAAGGCTCAACAAGGGTAGTCAAAGGTGGGGAGAAGTAGTCCTAAGAGGTAGAGGTAGCCAGGTTGGGGTATCACGGACCCGTCATCCCAAGCCACTAGGACCTTAAGTCTACCTGGTCGTGAAGGTAGTCGACCCAACACAACTAGAGATCCCCTGGCGGTGATCCGTGAATCGCGTCATCTGTGGGGATCTCGGTAGCCCTAAGGTCGAAGGAAGGAAACTCTATCCTATCACTAGAAGCTAGAGCTCTGAGAGGTGGGACTTATACCTGCCGAAGTGATAAAGAAGCCTCAAGAAATAAGGAAAATGGAGGTTCAGCTACGAAGCTGGAAACACTCAAACAAAAGGACTTATATCCCGTCTGGATCGGGGTCTCTCCTAACACGTTAAGCGTGCTAGACAACCACCTAAACGAGATTATGTTGGGCCAGTCGGATTGGAAAAGCACGGGGGCCACTCCTCGGGATATGCAAATATGATGCAATTATCTAGCATATTCCTAAGCGTGGATGCCCTATTAAATATGATTGGGTTATAGCCATGCATGCAAATCATTTTTAAAACTGGCCCCAAGGCCATGCAAAAGGTAAAAATTTATTTAAGAAAAGCTTGAAAGTTTTAACCCTAAAAAAATTTGATTATCTTAATTTTTATTATTAGGATTTTTAGGTAAAAAAAATTAGAACGTGAGGTCCAGATACGCAGAAAGAAACAATATAAAACGCTCCAACATGCAAAGGCACACGAGAAGAGAAAGAAAGAAAAGCACCCCAAAAAATAATAAAAGAGGTCAGACTCCGCATGTACATGTCCGATCCTAAGTCTATACAAAAATATAAAATTCAGACTTTAAGGTATGGGACATGAGCTGCTGCTCCAGGTCCTCGTCACATGGTTTGATGAGCCATCCGCTTCGAAACCCATGCCCGTACCTTATTTTCGATATAGACTCTTCTAAGACTCTGTCAAATACATTTGAAATAGAAAATAAAGACTCGACCTGCATAAAACAAGTGTTAGCGGGCACGCCATGCATCGTAAAAATAATAAGCCGTGCCTTATAATTGGGGGAGCTAAAGAGCATCTGCAAGCAAAGTATTAGAAATCATTACATGCTCCCCCATAATAACACATGTGTGAGTGTGTATAAATAGGCACGGCACCTGCAGAGGATCGTCCTAATATACTATCACACACAAGAAGCATGCAAGCACACCGAAAAAGGCGAGAAAGTGACACATGATTAGCGCAAGACAACACAACACACAACAATAGCCAGGGGTGTCGAAAATACTACCTAGCATCCTAAACCCTAGCCTAGCATACCATCTAACGACAAGTGCATCAACCTAGCATCTAAGTATGGGGTGAGTCTGAGCATGGTATGACTTTGATGGGGTCATCACGCCGGCCCCCTCCTAAAGATCCCAAAGATCTAAAGGGTGTCACGAAGAGAGGTGACATAAGTTAGATCCAATAGATCCTTAGCACAGTCATACTTGTGTCGATCCCGATGACTTAACTCACATTGCTCATCGGGATCACCCCGATAAGCAATGCTTGTTAAGACATCGCGACCAACACGGGATTCACTCTCTTAACGGGTCTGGCTCGCTATCCATATGAACATGCAAATGCAAATGTGCAAATGATTGGAACATGCAAATGCAAATGATTGGGCAAAACGAGTATACCATGGAGCAGGGGGAGCAGGGACTCAAAGGAAGGTGGGCATACCATAGTGGCAACGACTCAAAGAGGATGGGCTTGCCGTGATAGCAGCGACTCGACGGAATGGGCATGTCAGGGTGGCAGTGGCCCGAAGAGGATGGATATGCCATGGTGGCAGCGACCTTAGGTGGTATGCCAATAAGACAGTGACCTGTAAAGAGTGGGCACGCCGTGACGATAGAGGCTCGACGAGAATGTGCAACTTAAGTATATGAACAAAATCATGCAAACAGACAAATGCAAGACAGGATGCAGTGATGCGACCATACATATGCACTACAATATG